TGAAGGACAAAACTCAAAATGAATTTTATTTGCCTTAGTTTTTTTTTATTTTTATAAATTAATTTTTATTGGTGTTCAATTTACCAACATACAGAATAACACCCAGTGCTCATCCCGTCAAGTGTCCCCCTCCGTGCCCGTCACCCATTCACCCCCACCCCCCGCCCTCCTCCCCTTCCACCACCCCTAGTTCATTTCCCAGAGTTAGAAGTCTTTATGTTCTGTGTCCCTTTCTGATATCTCCCACACATTTCTTCTCCCTTCCCTTATATTCCCCTTCACTATTATTCATATTCCCCAAATGAGTGAGAACATACACTGTTTGTCCTTCTCCAATTGACTTACTTCACTCAGCATAATACCCTCCAGTTCCATCCACGTTGAAGCAAATGGTGGGTATTTGTCGTTTCTAATGGCTGAGTAATATTCCATTGTATACATAAACCACATCTTCTTTATCCATTCATCTTTCGATGGGCACCGAGGATTGCCTTAGTTTTTAATACCCAAGTGTGAAAAGAAGCTATGAAGTATCTTAAAATTTTTAGTAATATTTGCTCAGGCTTGAGCTTTTTAAATTTGGTTTTTTGTTTGTTTACTGATTAATTCTTTTGCCTACAACATGAAGGGTTATTATTCTCTACTTTATGTGTAATCTACCTGGAAAGCAAAAATTCTGTGTCCTAGAAAAATGTTCTGTGCCCCGCATTGATTTTATTATGTCCTTTATTAGCTAAATGCCCCCTCAATGATTCCTCACTTACGATAGAGCTATGGTTCTTTTTAATTGTGTTAGTCTCAATGTTTATTTTTAAATGCTTTATTGTCACATTGACTAAATAGGTAATCCAAGTGCTATATCACAATCACCCACCAGCTCATCTTAACTGAATATCCAGAGCTTTTCTGATAACTTTTTTGACTTTTGGCTTCCCAGAAAGTGGACTGGCCCTTGACAAAATTGTTAATTAATTAAATGAATTCTTCTTCAGCTCCTTTTTACATTCTAATTTCTACTTTTTTCTGGTTCCACACAGCTCCTTTCAAGGAAGCAATACCAGGAAGTATGTTTCCAATTGCCCAACATACTCCCTTAGCCAAGCAAGACTGAGGCTGAAAATTTTCCCTTCCCCTAACTCCTATCATAACCCACTTGTCCTGTGCTTCCTTCCCTAGAATTCCTGTTATCTCTTAATATGATGAACTATTCTATGGTGAGGAATTAATAATGTCCTTTTCCAGATATAATTTGCATTTTAGCAGAAGAAAACATTAAGATATATTTAAATAGTGAAGTGCATATTGAGTACTGTTGTATGTTGGGCATTATGCTGTACCTACATCAGCAGACATGGTCAATTCCTAGACTCAAAAAGCTTACATTCGGGGATCCCTGGGTGGCGCAGCGGTTTGGCGCTTGCCTTTGGCCCAGGGCGCGATCCTGGAGACCCGGGATCGAATCCCACGTCGGGCTCCCGGTGCATGGAGCCTGCTTCTCCCTCTGCCTATGTCTCTGCCTCTCTCTCTGTGACTATCATAAATAAATAAAAATTAAAAAAAAAAAGCTTACATTCTATTAAGTTAATGTTTTAAGTAAAGTTGTATATAAAAAGTCCCCAAAGCCCTCACATTTAAGTTCAAATGATTTTTAAGAAGGGTTCCAAGTTGACTGAATGGGAAAAAGAAGTTTTTTCAATAAATGGTACTGGGACAACTGAATATATTTACATGTTAAAAAAAAAAGTTGGGCCTCTCTCACATATGATATGCAAAAATTAACTAAGGATGTATCAAAGATCTAAATATAAGAGTAAACTATAAAACTCAGAAGAAAACATTAGAATAAGCCTCCATTACCTGGGTTAAGCAATGGTTTCCTAGATATAATACCCCAAGCACAAGCAACCAAATTAAAAATAAGTTGATCTTCATCAAAATTATTAAAAACTTTTCTGCTTCAAAGGACACCACCAAGAAAATGAAAGGACAACACATAGAATAGAAGCAAATATTTACAAATCAAATATATGACAAGAGACTAGTATCCAGAATATGTAAAAGATTCCTGAATAGACATTTTTTCCTAAGAAGACATGCAAATAGCTAATAAGCATATAAAAAGATGTTCAACCCCCTAATCATTAGAGAAATGCAAATCAAAATCAAAATGAGACACTTCATCATGCAAATTAGGATGGTATAATTAAAAAGACAATAACAACTGTTGAGAAGAATGTAGAAAAATTGGAACCTTCATACACTGCTAGTGAGAATGTAAAATGGTATAGGCACTTTGAAAAACATTTTGGTAGTTCCTTAAAATGTTGAACATAGAGTTACTATAGGACCCAGATATTCCACTCCTAGGTGTATACCCAAGAGAACTGAAAACATATTCACACAAACACGTGTACATGAATGTTCATACCAGCATTGTTCATAATAGCCAAAAAGTGGAAACGACCCACATGTCTATAACTGGTGAATGGATAAACAAAATCTTGTGTGTCCATATAGTGGAATATCATTTGGCCATAAAAAGGAATAACATACCGATGCATGCTGCAACATGAATAAATCTTAAAAATATTATACTAAGTGAAAAAAGCTATAAAAGCATAGTGTATGATTTTGTTTATGTGAAATATCCAGAATAGGCAAACTATAGAGAAAAAAGTACGTGAATTATTTGCCAAGGGGCTGAAAGGAGTGAGAGAGTGACAATTCATAGAGACAAGGTTTCTTTTAGGGATGATGAAATGTTCAGAAATCAGATTGTGGTGATGGTTTGTGAATTATATCTCAATATATCTGTATATGAGAAAGTCCCAGAAACATGGAGTAAGTTTGAAGAGAAGGGAAATCTTTATGAAAACAGTGACATTTGACCTCAGATTAAAGGCTGAGGAGTAGTTTTCTACATAAAGTAAAAGGACTTTTTAGCCAAAGAGAAAAGTAAGGGATTGTGAACTACATAGTACAGTTGACCCTTGAACAACACTGGTTTGAACTGGTGGTTTGAATATCACTTTTTCCTGGATTTTTCCAATAAGTACAGTACAGAACTGTAAATGTACATTCTCTTCCTTATGATGTTCTTAATAACATTTTCTTTTATCTGCCTTTACTGTAAGAATAAAGTATATAATACATATAAATAAAATGTGCTTATCACCTGTTATCTGTAAGGTTTCAGTAGGCTATTTTTTTTAATTTTTTTAAATTTATTTATGATAGTCACAGAGAGAGAGAGAGAGAGAGAGAGAGGCAGAGACACAGGCAGAGGGAGAAGCAGGCTCCATGCACCAGGAGCCCGACGTGGGATTCGATCCCGGGTCTCCAGGATCGCACCCTGGGACAAAGGCAGGCGCCAAACCGCGGCGCCACCCAGGAATCCCTCAGTAGGCTATTAATAGCGAAGTTTTAGAGGAGTCAAAAGTTATACGTAGATTTTCAATAACTCAGGGGTCAGTGCCCCAACCCCTAACTGTGCAAGGGTCAACTGTATTTGGGATATGTGTGACCAAGTCATGCCTAGAAAAAGATTTGTGGGTAATAAGAATGGAAAGGAGGGGGCATGCCTGGGTGACTCAGTCAGTAATTAAGCCTCTGACTCTTGGTTTTGGCTCAGGTCATGATCTCAGGATCATGAGTTTGAGTCTGTGACTGGCTCCACGCTCAGTGAGGAGTCTGCTTTAGATTCTCTCTCCCTCTCTCTCTGCCCCTCAAGGTCGTACTCTCTCTCTCTCAAATAAATAAATACATCTTTAAAAAAAAATAGAATGGAAAGGAGGACCTAGATCAGCCAGTCTCAGTAGGAAAGAGAAGGAGTGACCAAAAAGGGGTAATTCAAGAGAATGTGATGAAGAGATTGACCACAGAGGTGTGGACAGAGGTAAAAGAATCCAAAGAGGATGATGAAGCTCTCCTCACACCAACAACAGCAGGAAGTTGTTATGGTTTCTAAGCCTAAGGGCCCAATGGAGGGGGAAATGACCGGAACTTGGTAAGAGCCATAACTAGAGGAGAGAATCAAATTGATTTGGACGTTAGGTAGAGGAATGTAGCCACTGCCAAACCTTCTGGGAAAGAAGCCCAAAGGTGGGGCTGGGGATGGAATACTGGGATTGCTGTCTTTCCCACCCTCTAGACTCCTGTCAGCTGAGCCACAAGGCAGAGGACAGAACCTGTTGATATAGTCTACACAGGTCAGCCTCCTGGGGCAGAGAGTGGGGCCAAGTGTGAAGAGTGAGTCTGGAGAGTAAGCAGCCCAGGGCCAGATCATAAAAGTCTTGTGTGCCTTGCCAAGCAGTCTGGACTTTGTCCTGCAGACAGGAGGAAACCATAAAAAAGGTTTAAGTAGGGAAGTGACTGCAATGTGAGAGTTTAGACAGGGTGAACCTAAAACTGGTTCTCAAAGTGTGGTACCCAGACCAGCAAGCATCTGCATCACCTGGGAACTTGTCAGAAATGCACATTCTGGGGTCCTCTCACTAAATTATGGGAGTGGGACCCAGCAAGATGTATTTTAACAAGTATTTTCAGGTGATTCTGGTGTGTGCTAAAGTTGGAGAACCACTGGCCTAGAACATTACTCCCAAGTCACATGCTAGCAGAATTACTGGAAAATATGTATGTGTAGTATATTTGCATAGAAATAGTCTGTAGGGATACACTTTAAAATATTAGTAATTCTTATCTCCAGGTGGTAAAATTACATGGGTTTTACTTCTTCTTTTTTTTAAGTTTTATTTATTTATTCATGAAAGACAGAGAGAGAGGCAGAGACACAGGCAGAGGGAGAAGCAGGCTCCATGCAGGGAGCCCAATGTGGGACTCGATCCTGGGACTCTGGGATCATGCCCTGAGGCAAAGGTAGATGCTCAACCACTGAGCCACCCAGGTACCACTAATTTCTTCTTTTATTTGTATTTTAACAACTTTTCATAATGCACATGCATTTTGAAATAAGAAATAAAAGTTATTTAAAAGAGAAGGTAGTGCTCACTTCAGCAGCATATATACTAAATTTGGAACAATACCGAGAAGATTAGCATGGCCCTTGCACAAGGATGACATACAAATTCATCAAATGTTCCATATATTTAAAAAGATAATAAAATAGAAGAGAAGGCAGAAAATAAAATGGAAATATGTTAACATTTAAACACTTAAAATTTTTAAAATATGGGTATATCACTAAATTACCAAAAACAAAGATGAAAGAGATGTCAAGCTGAGAAGAATTTGTAAATTATATGACAGTGGGTTAATAAGAAAAAGAATATCCCAGTATAAGTTCAGCTATTGTAAGCCATAGTCTAGTCTAAAAAAGAAGAAATATGAATAACAATGTGAGTTTTTAAAAATGTGAATATGAATTTTAGAAAAATTAATGTTGCCAATAATCAAAGAAATGAAAAATTAACATAGGCACACTTTTTGCTTATTTGATTGGCAAAGATTGAGTAATCCAGAGTTTTGTGAGAGTGTGGAAAATGAATATTTTATCATGGTTTTGATAAGAATATAAAGATTTACAAAATTTTTAGATGGAAATTTCAAAATATGTTTTGAAAGCCTTAAAATACAGTCCTTGATCAGATAGGAATTTTTCCTGAGAATATAATTGGTTAATTGTCCATAAGTGTATGTTTAGCTAATGAACATTAAAAAGATGATTAACCTCACAACTACTCTGAGAAGTGAAAACAATAAACTATATTTCATCCACAGCACTGTCAAAGCTTAACATTTTTTCTAATGTCAACTGTTGTCAAGGTTCTGAAAATATGGATATGTATTGCTGATAGGAAGCTAACTAGGTATATTCACTTTGGAAGACAAATTTGACACTCTCTATTAAAAAAAATACTATGCTTACTCTGACACAATGACTCTACATTTTGGTGCCTAACCAGAGAAAAAGATACACATCTACGAAGAGAGAAATAAGTTCATGTTCATATACTACTTATAATAGAATCTCACCAAAAAAGAACAGCCTAAATTTCCATACATAAAGAACAGACACATGGGAGATAGTAAAGTCATAATATGAAGGAATGAATTTAGATTTCTGTAAAACTATGTAGGAACAGGTTATCAAAACACTGCTGAATGAAAAGGCAAACCACAGAATGATATACGCAGAACAATACTGTTGGTGTAAAAAACATAAGGCTTTACTAAATGTTTTTTGATACATATATTATGTATGTATAAAAATGGATTATAATATGCACCAAACTCATCATAGTTATTTCCTCTGCAGAGAAAGGAGAGGACCAAATGAGTAGACAGTCACCAAAGGGAGTTTTCATTTTACTTGGAGCAGTCTCATCTCTTTCTTTTTTAAAAGAAGAATGTTGATATACTTTAAAAATACTTATATACATGGAAAAGCTGGGAAATAATGTGTTGCAACATTAATAACAGTTAATTTTGGGTAGTGGGAAATGAGTATTTGTTTCTGCTTTCTATGTTTTTATTTATTAAAGATTCAAACTCTTCTCCCAAAGAGATGTATATAAAGAATCTTTACCATTGCTTTGTTGAAGGAGAAGAGGAAGGAGGGGGAAAGAGGAGGAAGAAGGGAGGAGAAGAAGAAAGAAGAAAGATGGAAGGAAGGAAGAAAAGGAAAAAGGAAAGAAAAAAATCTGAAAGGCTATATAGTATATGACTGGCTGCTAGGGGTTGGGGAAAGGAGGGATGAATAGAAGTGCAGAGGATTTTTAGGGCAGTGAAACCAAGCTGTATTATAATAACAGATACATGTTATTTTACATGTGTTCAAAGGCATAGCATGTATAACACCAAGTGTGAATCCTAATGTCTAGGGACTTTGGGTGATAATGATATGTGAGTGTAGGTTCCCCAATTGTAACACATGTACCACTCTGGTGAAGGATGTGGATAATGAGGAGGCTGTGCATGTGTAGGGGCAGGGGGTATATGGGATATCTCTCTACCTTCCTGTCAGTTTTGCTGTGAACCTAAAACTGCCCTAAAAACATAAAATCCATTAAAAAAAAAAGACAATTTAAAAGTTCCAACGTAGACAGTTGATAAAATAATGGTATACTATAGAAGGAAGGTATGGTATACCTTTTCCTTTGGTAGAAGAAACTATTGTTAAAAATAACAATAATATGTAGACATTTTTAAGCTTACAAGAAGTATAAGATTAAAGTTTTAAGAAAGGCAGGTGCAAACATAATTAATGTTAGGAATCCATTTTGTGAAAAAGAAATGAGCATTTCTGAAAGATGGATCTATGGCTAAGTGTCTTATACTTTATCTGTATTTTCTCACTTATCTGAAGAGGGCCTTTATTAATTAAAAAATAAAGCTGACAAAAGAAAAAGAATCTAGCAGGTATAGGGAAGAAAGATAAATCATTGGCATATCTAGTATTGCCCTAGGTAATATATGGTTTTTATTTGGCTTTTATTCATCCCTTTTGTTATCTTAAACACACGTACACACACACACACACAACCATCCAGCAGCTCCTTTTCTCAAAAAGACACTCAGAATTTCATGCTGCCAAAGGAAACCCTCTGACGGGCAAAAAGGATTTGAAACATAATTTCAAATGAAAATGCAAGTGATTAGGGCACCCGGGTGGTTCAGTTGGTAAAACATCTGCCTTCAGCTCAGGTCATGATCCCAGGGTCTTGGGATGGAGCCCCACGTTGTGTTTCCTGTTCAGTGGAGAGCCTGCTTCTCCCTCTCCCTCTGCTGCTCCCCCTGCTCTATCTTTATCTCTCTCTCTCTCTCTCTCTCTCTCAAATAGATAAATAAAATCTTGAAAAGAAAATGCAAGTGATTTATTGCATTACCCCCTAATGTGAGACAGCTGAGGACATAGCAATTCGTTCCATGTATAGGAACCTGGATTCCAGTATCTACCAGTATTTCTACACCATAGAGAGCCAAGACACCTGACTCAGAATTACCTGGAGTGCTTCTTGAGAAGGAAGGTCCGTAAAAGGCCTGACATGTGGCACAAGAGGCCCTGGCATCAGCAGAAATAAACACTCTGGAAGATTTCCTATGTGCTCTCAAATTCAAAAACCTTTGCCAGAGACTAATACCGAATCATTAGGATTTTTCAGAAACCTGGATTCTTCATTTAAGTTCCAGTTCTAACAGTTGAGGTGAGGATAACACACAGAAGTGTCTTTGAGCTTGCTTTGAAGAGTTCCAACACCAAAGAGGAAGAAGCTATTGTTACCAGTCACGCTCCCTGAGAGGCAGAGCCTTGGCATTTTACAGATGACCAGACACAGAAGGAAATGCTTTCAGAATGAATTATCTTTAGGTAGTCCCAGATAAGAAAGATAGTATGAGTCAGGGAATTCCTCTCAATCCAAAGCACAGAGGGCCAGGCCTATCACATAGGTGATGAGCATGCAAGGACATCAATCAAACTTCCTAGAATGCGAAGAATTCTTCTGATGCAACACAAAGAAAGTCTGCTTTTGACAAAGGACCCTCTTCAGTCCCTAAGTACCTCAGGATGGTAACCAGCCTTGCTAAATATTCCTTAGAAAGCCCTAAAAATGATTTGCCCTATCCCTTTCCTGCTCCAACCAATTTCTGCTGTAAGATGTAGAGACAGAACAGGAAAGCAAAATGTCTCCTCTTCAATAAATTTGGGTTTTAATACACATGGAACACTCTCCAGGGTGGAATGTTCTGGACCTACACTGATTGCTAAGTGACCACTGGCCACAGGTGGCTATTGAGCACTTGCAGTGTGGCCAGTATGAATTGGGATGTGCTATAAATGTAAAATACACGGATTTCGAAGACTGTAAAAAAAAAGAATGTTAATTACTTAATTTTTATTTAATTACATGTTGAAAAGATACGTGGTTAAATATATTGTTACAATTACTTTCACCTGTTTCTCTGTACTTTTTAAAAATGTGTCTACTAGAACACTTTAAATTATATATGCGACTTGTATTTCTACCAGACAGCAGTGCCTGAGAACGAAAAAGTGAGCAGATGCTGCCTAGCAAAATGTAAGTGGGAGGTGGCTACTCTATTGCTTTTCAACCTAGCCCAAACAGAAGCACAACTTCCATTTTAAAAATGTCTTTTTCTGAACCTCTCTCAAATTGCTGAGATTTCTTTCCTTTTCTTCAGTGATGTTCCTTGTGGTGAAATGAGAGATGCACTCTTACTTTCACTTTTTTGATCTCTCAGTTCCTCAAAGTTAGAGGCCATGTTGTCTTTCTGTGTTTTGTGTGTCTCTTCACCCACTGTGAATGCAAGATACCGATTTGGCCCACAATGACCCATCTGGGCAAACTCTCTTCTATTGTTCACACCTGATGGATGTTCATCAACATTTGTGGTGGTTCATTAGTGTTCAGGTTTATAGATGAACTATAGCTAATTGATGAGCATTTATTGCTAATGAGTAAAGGCTGAAAGAGTTTTAGTTAACTCTGAACAAAAGATCAAAAGTTAATTCATGAACCAGAAAACACCTGCTTGGTGCAAAGCATGGGGGAGTAGGTAAGTATACGTTTAACCAGGGAAAAAAGAAGCAATGAGATTAGACTTGTACATAAAGTATGCATTCAGTAACCACAGCAGGAAGACTTTGGTCTGAGAAGGGAATAGTTGGGTAGAAGGAATTTTAGACATGAGTTTAGATTTTAGAGCTGATTAAGATATGTCTCCTAAGCTGGGCAAAGCCAGAGTCTGTTGCAGCAGTTTGTGTGTTTAATTACATATTGAGCTCTTCTCACGAAATGATAAATAGCTTGTACAAGTGTATATATGTCTACTCCAGCACACATGTGTGTGCACAGGCACACACACACATGCACACACTTTGCCTCGCACCATCTCCCTTCTAGAGCTAAAAGCTCCACAGTTCCCATTAAAAACCCCTCATGGGAAACAAGAAGCTTTTCAAACATGAATCTGAAAAAATGTAGAGGATTATAATGTTTAATCTTAAAACATTTGTTATTCTGCGGCTGCTTGTACCAGTGGGCAATTACCAAAACAAGGATTAACTAAAATCCGACTTTGGTCAGTTCAGGAAAATCTGTGGGTCAAAGGGAGGAGTTTGTGAAAATC